TGCTGCCGGAGCTGTTGGACCGTTTGCCCTCCTTCTTGGCCTTCTTGGAGTGTCTCTCGTCTTCCGAGGACGAGGACAGCAGCAGCGAGGCCACAAACTTCTTACTCGATTCGGCAGAATGCTTCAATGGAGACTCGTCGTTGCGAGGTCTCTTCCGCTTCTCCTCCACTCTCGGAGAGGCAGAGCGCTTTGGAGAGGGAGAGCCAGGCTTTGCCGAGAGAAGACCGCCGCCAAGGGCCACAGGCTTCTTGTCTTCAGCCTTCTCCAGCGGCTTCTCGGTGATGCGGCGCCGGAGCGGGTGGGTATCCAGATACCCTAGTCTGCTCAAGGCGTGGTGGGCGTTTTCAATGACAAGGGCCCTCTCGTAGGGCGTGAACGGGCACAGCCACGGACGCAAGTCCTTGTATGCCTTGTCCTTGAGGATGACGTAGTCGTGATGCTGGTCTGTGTCTGTGAGGCCCAAGGCGACGCTTGGGTATGTGTCTGATTCGGTGAAGGAGGAGCTGGGCATGGACAGGTTGTAGCTCTGGGTGTGAGTCAGGAACAAGCGGTCCATTTCGGCCGGGGCGATCCGGCCGTTGGCGTTGATGCGGGTCTCGACCTCTCGTCTAGTGGTGGGGCCCAAAGCGACCAATGCAAGGAACTTGGTGGGAGCGTCACCCCTGGCGTCCACGGCGTAGAGGCCGTGTTCGTGTAGAGACAGTTTCCGGGCGTGTTCGAAGGAGGGTTTCACTGGAAGCAGCAGTTTCGGCTGGACAGGGGCCTTTTGGTGGTTCTTGATCTGGCGAGGGTCTGTGAGCACATTGAGCCGTTCCGTGACGGTTCCGGCAAAGTCGTAGCTGCTGGAGCCCCTGGCATTGTAGATATCGAAGCGGAGCAGCTCGTTGCTCGAGGAACAAGGGTAGACGAGCAGATCGCCTACTTTGATCAGCTGTGGGTTAGTCATGGACGAGAAGCGATTCCAACGGATACATACAAACTGGCCGTTTTTCACCACCAACTTGGGCACGGTGCCGTTCTTGTGAAGCCCTCGGAGCAGCGCTAGCACCTCCAGGTTGAGTCTGAGCGCCACGGCCTCTGGGGCCTTGTCCTTAGGTGGGTTCAAGACGGACACCTTCGGGACCATGGCGATGCAAGGGATTTGGAAAACGGGGGTTTTTGAAGTGAAAAGGAGAAAATGTGCTTTTTCAGCCTTGAAATTGCTGGCGAGTCACGAAATGAAGGGCTGTCTGGAAGAAGAAGTAGAGTCAGGCCGCAGAATGCGAATGGGCCAAAAGTGGAGTGGGACGCCCTGAGCAGGAGGTGATGATGCCCAACGGTGCACAGATTTTGGGAGGAAAGCTGGTTTACTAGTTTTTAATTTTATAGAGAAGAAAAGGAAAATGAAGATTTAGAGGAAAAGTGGAAAAGGAGAAAGTAAGGGAGAGTTCGTTTTTGGCCTCTTCGTCTCCGTGCTATTTCTGGCGTCTGGCCTGGCGTGGGGCGTGGATGAACGATAAGGAGTAGGGTGATGCCACGGAAGGAAAGGAAGGCGTGTACTGGAGAGCGAGAGCAGGAAATACGGTGATTTCCCGAAATTCGTCAAGTCGTCAAATCTACGTATTTTGGCTCCAGGAGTAAATTAGTCCGTCTGCTGTGCCATTGTGCAACTGTAGGCAGCGAGCCAAGACAGCTTTAGGCAGAGGGGCCTACAGCGCAACCATTCTAGAAGCCCACGATGTAGGCGAATGTGAATAGGCAAATTTGGGGAATTCGAAGTGGACTTTGATTTTGAGAATATCAGAATTTCAAAAAATGGAGCCGTTTGGGGTTTGGTCTGGGTGACCGGCTGCGAATAGCCGCAACAGACGCCATAAACTTTTCACTTTAACTTTCGCAGGGATGGGGCCGAGCCGGCCTACCAAAACCTCAAAATCTTCACATTTTCACTTTCCAAAAGCAATTAGCCAGTAACGCTCTTTCCACATTCTGTTTGAAAACTTCCATCCAGCAATTAGCCCAGGTTGGCTTGACCGTCTGACCTACGGGCCATGCCTGAATATAGCCGCCAAGCAGCACATAACCGGTAGCCGGTGGATGGGTTTCCAAACCAGCACTGTGGAGGTCCGTGGTTTGGGACCCTGCTTTTGCTGACTAGAAAGAGGCGGTTATCATGCATGTTTTTGCCACTTTGGAAATGTGTATTTAGGCTGGACGAGTATGGAAAATGGCGGCTTTAGGCTATTCTCGAGAACGCAATCCTGGGGCTACTATCGAGGACCGCAGATCATTCCCGTTCGGCTGGAGACGACCCAGGGTGCAGACCCCATCTGTGGTTGAAGCGATTGAAGCGATAGAAAGCGGATGGTTTTTGATTAAACCAAATTTTGATTAAAACAACCTTTTTTCTTTGATTTCGTTGATTTCGTTGATCTGCTTTCGTGGAAATGCAACTGTTGGGGCAACCGCTCCTACTAAACTGGGAAATATGGGTGCACTGAGCAGCTAGACGAGAAAAGCCCACACGCTCAGCCCCAGGCCCGTCGCCAATCACCGCCAAACGACTTTTCTTAAAACCTGTCCTACAAGAAATTGCTATAGTTTCACCAATAATTCACCACTTTTTTCCTTATCTGGCCCCGCTTTGTTCCACCTGAGCAGCCATGCAGATTCATGTTTTGGCTGCGAAACGAGCAACCAGTCATGGAAGCGACCCAAGAGAATTTTAAAAATGCTTCAAAAATCGACCCTATAAAATTTGGAAAATCCGTCCCTTTAGGCTTCCTCCCACCATGCCCTGAAACAAAAACAAAAAAAATGGCCCCATGACCTCATGGCCCCACCGCCTAGACAGAGTTGACAAGAAGAAGGACAATAAAACAATGGTCCAGCCACCCCGCCCCTGTCTCCCACTGCAATAACAAAAACGGCACCACACACACAGCCGTTTGTCGAAATAAAAGAAACACAGACCCCTTTTTTTCTTTTCCTTTCTTTTGCTTTTTGCTATAATGGCTTTGAAGCAGCAACAGGTCGTGCGCGGCTCATAGCGGCTATCGCGAGCCCCCCAGCCCACAGCAAACCGCAGTCATCAGTTGCCTTGTCTCACATCTTTCTTCCACTCAATCTAGTATTATCATGTTGAAGTGGGTCCAATCCGGTCTTTCCGTCGTCGCAGGCACCGCCGAGCCAGAGTATGGCCGTGAAGCCATCCATCCAATCACCGATTTCATCAAGAAGGGTGACCCTGTTTCTAGAGAAACCACTCCTGAGGACTTTGCCTGGAGAAAGCCTGGCTACACCAACGTGGAGACCCAGACTTTCTACTTTTCCGATTTGAAAACGGGATACACTGGTTTTGCCCAGATCATCCACTCCAATCTCATGGGCGTCAAGACTACCGCTCAGTTCACCTTCAGATTGTATAACAACGAGAAGGGCGCCGATGACCCCAACGCCATCTGGACCTCCACCGCCTTGGAGGAGTTCCGTGCTGAAGGCTCCAACTTCTACGCCAAGAACTTGTCCTTTGAGCTTGCTGACGATGGCGTCACCTACCACTTGAAGTCGCTAGTCAACGAGGACTCCTTGGTTGACTTGACCGTCAAGAGATTGACCCCTGGTGTCGTTTTCGGCAAGGATGGTACTACCCTCTACGGTGATGACTTGGAGAACCCATGGGGCTCCATGAGACACGCCTTCTGGCCTAGATGTAGCGTCACGGGTAAGCTCTCGTTGAAGAACAACGTGCAGCTTGAGATTGACGGCTTCACCATGTTCGTGATGGCTTTGCAGGGCATGAAGCCCCACCACGCTGCCAAATCCTGGAACTTCCTCAATTTCCAGAGTCCTCACTTTTCCGCCGTGCAGATGGAGTTCACCACCCCTCGTTCTTACGCCACCACAAAGGTCAACATTGCCATTCTCGCCAAGGACGACAAGGTGGTGCTCACGTCCATTGACAACGAGGTGACCCACGAGGACGCTGAAATCGACGAAGTCGGCTGGAACGTCCCCAAGGGCATCACCTTCAACTTCTCCAAGGACGGCGCTGACTCTGAGACCGTGGCCGTTGTCTCTGGTAAGTTGAACCAGTTGGTCGAGCGTGTGGACGTGATGGCTGAGATCCCTCAATTCGTCAAGAACATTGTTTCTGGCGTTTCCGGTGCCAAGCCATACATCTACCAGTTCTGCAACCCATTGAGCATCAAGTATGGCTCTGAGACCGAGGAGGGTATTGGTTTCAACGAGGCTACTTTCATCTCCGACTAAAGCAACGACGGCAGAGCGACCGCATAAATCATAAAAAACCATATAGCTCCAGGTCTCTCGCTGCACGATTAAAGTGGGCCCCCAGCACTAATTCTCCTCCCGCTGGTCCCATACTATATATTTGATTTAATACGTTAATGAATTAGATTAGAAAGAGGGCGTAGGAGGGGGGCAATTCTCCATCAGTGACTACCCGTTAGCCAAATAATGGGTGACACTGGTGATTCAATCATTTTTATTAAATAAAATTAAAAAGATTTTAAAAAAATTGCAGTGTGTGAATAAACGTGGATGGTATTAATCCCATAAAGCTGCAAAAAAGATAACGACAACTGCAGGACTCGAACCTGCGCGGGCAAAGCCCAAAAGATTTCTAATCTTTCTCCTTAACCACTCGGACAAGTTGCCTTCTGTGCGAATTTCTGTGCAACTGGAACATTAAGAGATGCAGTACCTAATGTTTACACGTGACACAAAACACGTGCAGGTTTCTAGGTTTGGGACTATACCTGACGGATTAGGAAGGTGGCTGCAACGCTTAAACCAGCTATTCGACATAAAGAAAGGGATGAATGAGTGAATTTATTTTTAGCATAATTTAACAGAGTAGAAGCTCCAATGAGTGAAATGAAAGATGCACAATCTACTTCATAATTCATCTTCAAAGCTCCATTAATCTACACTCTCAGGCTTCGTAACTCGTCATATTTGACAGATTCTATAAATCAAATGATTCTTCTAGTTTTGGCTTACCTTCTCTCGTACGTCAAGAAGTGCAAGAAGACATAGCCAAGTACAAGGAATGTAGCGGCCCAGCCGATCAAGTAGCTTACATCCTTCCAGTAAGCAGAGACCTCGAAACCAAAGGTACTCAAAATAACAGCACCTGGGACTTCAATAGAGAGTCCATACTTCTTCTCCTTTAATATCAAATCCTTCACTTCGTTGATTGCAAGTGCCTCATAGGCGTAGTGGAAAAGAGAGATCCACTGCAACCATTTGGTTTGTACCTTGAGGTCTTCGCTGTTGATAAAAAGACCGGCAAACAACATCGAGAAGAGAAGAATTAAAACGGCCAGGATAGTGGACGTACCAGGATCCTTGATCAAGATACCCACAATCAACACCTCTGACGCAATGGCAACATTGAACATAACGAGCACCAAAAGAGCCTTGAGGAAACCGTTGTGCTCCATTGTCAACCCAACAAGTGGGTATAAAATGCTTAGCAAGATGATAGGTGGCAACACACGCAATGGGATGATGTCACACAACACTTTACTCACGTAGTAACTGAATGGGTTGTAGTAGTTGTTAGCTCTCTCACGAATGAAGATGATTCTTTCCTCAGCAAATGAGTGCAAGCCAGTCAATGAAGAGAAACCAAACAATGCCAAGACGAAGAAGAACAAACCCAATCTGTTTTGGAATCCACTGATGTCATTCGAAACCTTGTAGTAAAGCGAACCGCAGAAAAGACCGACAAGCAAAGACAAGACATAGTTTGTGAGAAGCAACTTTGGGTTTCTGTACAAGTTCTTGAACGTTCTCGAGCTCAAGACTGTGAATTGCGTGAACAACGATGCCTTCTTCAAAAGATGATGCAGCACGTCGAGAGCTGCAGAGCTTTGCTTGGATTCTTCAATCTCCTGCTTGAGCTCTATAGCAAGCACTGACTCATTGAAGGTTTGAGGCAACTTTTTGTGAAGCTGAATTAATTTGTCGCCATTGTCACGCTGCGCTAAAGGCTGGAAATTGTATTCATCGCGATGAGTAGCATAGTGCTCCCACTCAGCAGTTTCATCCACCTCGGTGTTTTCTGGGTTTGTGAATGCGGCATGAACATCCTCCTCAGTATCGGGAACCCGCACAACCTTCTTGTGGTCCATTGTGATGTCAATAAGGTAATCAGCAATGTTATAGCCTGGAGGACATCTGTAGCCATGTTTCGAGAAGAAGTCGTTTGCCTTGATAAGGTCTCCGGAGTATATTAAATCACCTTCACTGAGCAACAAAAGCTTGTGGAATAATGAGACAATGTTGGATCTTGGCTGGTGAATGGTGAAGACTATCGTTCTGTTGTAATTCTTTGCCAACTTGACTAGACAGTCAACAACATTTCTAGCATTATAAGCATCAAGACCAGAAGTTGGTTCGTCCAAGAACAAAATAGATGGAGACGTGACAAGCTCGCAAGCAATCGACACTCTTCTCTTCTCACCACCCGAAATTCCTCTATTGAAATCAGAACCAACAACTCTGTCCTTGATATTGAGAATTCTCAACTCGTTCAAGACCTCGATCACTCTTGAAATCTTGGAATGCAAAGGCATGATTCTAGGGAGTCTCAATAAGGCACTGTTGAGGACAGTCTCGTATACAGTTAACGTAGGAATCAAATGATCTTCCTGATCCACAAAACCCACAATCTTTCTGTAATCATGACGATCAAGCACTTGTCCGTTCACAAAAATTTCCCCAGACGTTTTACCACTCTTGCGCTTACCAGCCAAGATATCGAGAAGGGTGGTCTTACCAGCACCTGACCCACCCATGATGGCGAGACACTCACCTGGATTGACCAAACCGTAGATGCTGTTCAAAACTTGAGAACCACCACCAAGATGATAAGAAACGTCCTTGAAGGATAAAGTAGTAGGCGTGAAGTTCTCATTCAATGGGTTGAAATCATTGTCATCATCATAGCCCAGCATAGAGCCTGTCTTGAAAAGCGGACTGTTCTTGATATGGTAGATCGAAGTAATTATAGCGACTCCCACAACTGCAACTACTGCTGCAATGGTGAAGAGATTGTACCAAGTGAACTTGTTGCGGTCAGGAAGGTCATATCCTGGAATTTCACTCTTATGGACACACTCACCTGCTTTACACTTGATCATGATGTATGGATCACCAAACACCGATGAGATCAATCCATTCATGCTGGGTTCGGAGAAACGACACTCTCCACCGGTAATGTCACAGGTGAAGTCACCTGGACCCTTGATAGTTTTTTCAAGAAACTCCGAGATATCAATTGAGCCAGATTTGCCACAGAGCATACGTCCAGGCAAGCACTCGCAAGCCACATTGTCACAGTTGTAGCGGGTGGTGTTTGACTCAAGGTCGTAATCAAACTTGCACAGACTCAAATCACAAAAGAAAGATTCGACTTCATCAATCCAGAATTGGAAATCGCAAGTGTTGTTCTTCTTGTCACATCTAAAAGTGGCTTGGGGGATCTCACCCTCTAAAATCTTGATAATCTTGGGATTGGTCACATTGCACATCTGGTGAATCTCGTTTATGACAACGCCTCGCTGGTAACAAACTCCCTTGAGACCCTCGGGCATAAAAGCATCACAGACAGAATCATCTGTACAAATGTTACAGTTGATGCCGTCCCAACCATCGTCACACGAACATGAGGTCTCGTTGCCTCGAGGTGGTCTTTTTGAATTATCTCTGGCAAGAGAGCCACACAAAGGCTCCGAGCAGTCCAGACCACCAAAGCCTTCGTGACACTCACACATGCCTGTAAACGTATTGCACTTTGAGAATTGAGCACACCGGTGATTAGGTAGATTGCAATTGAAACATGGCGGACAGTCTTTATCTTTGTCCTCTTCGCCAAACTCCTTCACCTCGAAAAGATTGTTAACAATAGCATTTTGTTGAAACTTATCGAAGGAGTCTTCCAAGTACCAGGACTTTGGTCCAAGTGGCTCCTTTGCTAACGCCCCAGTTAGATAAGCGAGAGCCGGGAGAAGCGACAAAAATTTCATGTAAGTTTCGCCTTATTTCAATGAATGATGAGGTATATGTTCGAAATTTATGGAATTCTAGGGTGTATGGTAAAGAAGTGGCGAATGTCTCACCTTGGTAGATAGAAACCCAGAGCAATTTAGAATAAGTAGGTAACGGGTCCTCTGTGCAGTATACACACTCCTTTATCAGTCTGGAATACTAACCGTATTTCGCAGCCAATCCAGAATCACTCGGGGATCTCCCTTTTGAGAGGCTCGATGTAGGTCTCCTTAAGCTCGTCCTTCACAAACACCATATAATAAGGTGTGGCTGTGTTGCCTTCTGCAAAATTAAGCACCTCCAGCGCCGGCACCTCGGTCACACTATCATCGTTATACTTTCTGAATATGTTCCTCTTGAGGTCCTTGATGTAGACCCAGTAGTGGCCATATGAAGCTTCGCCACGATGAATGAAAATGGCAAAAAGTGTGTATCCAACCTTTTGATAATCATCAAATTGGTTGCTGGATTTCTCTTGTAAGACTTTGATATCGTCATGGATGGACTGAAGTTTGCCCTTGAACTCTGTGATCTGGTCACCAATGGCCTCAATGGTTTCTGGCTTGATGGACAACTCCGGGAACGTAGACAACTTTGTCTCGAGAAATTTTTTCGTAGCCTGGAGAGAGTCAATCGCAGAAAGCTTGGTTTCGGGATCAATTTGCAAAAGGGCATCTTTCTCCTCCAGCAATCTCTTGATTTCAGCCTTCCACTCGTATACTTGCAGTCTCTTTCTCTTGAGTTCCTCATCGTCAGTGTCGAGATAGCGGTCCAAGTAAATGGTCTCTTTAAACGGTATGACCTCCAAAGACTTGTACGCCATGAGCCTCTCTCTGTCGAAAAGTACTCTCTGGACATGAAACTGCAATATCTCAGGTAGTTCAGTTATAGTCGTGGACTTTTTGACTTGACCTTCCTCTAAGTTCATGATATCCTCAATGAAGTAATTGTCAAGGGCATCGTAGATATCTTTTGGATGATCACTGACGTTGATGATCAAACTAAAGAATCTTTCAAATGAGCTTCTGGGCTTTGCATTTGTTCCTTTTTCAAGTGGAGTGATGGTCTGTTTCGTTTTACCACAGAATAATTGCTTGACCAAATCATACTGCTCACCATCGTCGTCAATCTTGGTTGGTTCAAGAGCAGTCTCAATTTGAAAAGTCACATTTTCGATACATTCCGTCACATCTTGCTGTCTTCCAATTTCAATAGTACTCTCCATTTGGTCAGTACTGATGCTCATAATCTTCTTCTGAGGCTTCTCATCTGCAGCGTCTTCGGATTCTAACGGAGCTTTTGAAGACTGATCATCCTTGATCGACAATTCTTCAACGCTCAGAGGTTTGGTGTCGTTCTGCTCCTCCTCTGAGAGGTCAAGTAGATTGTCGTCTGATGCTTGATTTTTAGCTGCTGGCTCATTCTCTTTGTCGGACATATCGACATCATCAAGCAGTCTCTGATCACTGAATGGGCGTGGCTCGACATCCATATCTGAAGAAAGGATCTCCTCAGTTTTAGCTGTTACAGACTCATCCCTGAACTCAACGCTTTGGGATAAAGGCAAAAATGAGAGATATGCCAATTCTTTGCTTGGTTGGACACAGCGACTTCTCGTTGTGATCATCTCCAGAAAGAGGCTTTGAAGTCTGAAAACAAACTGACCCGATCTTTCAAGCTCAGACTGTTCCACATCACGTCCACCAATTCTCCGTTTCTTCACCTTCAAGCTCTCAAGATTGGTATCATCAAACGAAAGGATGGTTTCGCGCAACGGCTTAATGCAAAAGTAATACTGGAGCAAAGAATTCAAATAACAGGTATTACCAATGTTGTCCAAACCTGCTGGCCAGTTCTCTGGTGGCAACAACGACGAATCGATCTTACCATTTCTTAAGAAGCTCGCCAAGATGTCCAGCTTCTTGATTTCCGCCAAGGTTCGTAGACTTGCCCTGAGGTTCATAAAAGCGCTGACATCACCGACTTCAGATGTTGCCATCTTCTCCTGGAATTTGGCAGTGATCTCAAAGTCGTTAGTTTGTCTATCAGCATCCAAGAACTCGAGAGCTTCGTCAACGCTCAACTGTGGCTCTTCCTGAGATAAGTCGGGAGATTTGAGCTCGATATAGTTCATGAGAATGTAACTTTTTCTGCTGATAGCGATAGAAAGCAAGCACTTTTTGAGGAAACGAATCTCTTGTGACTCAGTGTTGAAGTTCACAGACTGGAGAACTTCATCTAGACGGAATTCGTAAGCAGTCACAACCACGTCATCTTCGGTGAGCTCCTCGATTCTCAACTCTTCAAGAGCGATCTGAGCAGGTATGAGCTCTTTGTCAAGAAATTTGATTAACTCAGGGCTATGCTTGATGGTAGCAATTATCCTCAACTGCTTGTTGTAGTATGTGTAATTCTTGTGGTCGTTCTTGCAAGCTTGTTTGTACATGCCAATGACAACTTCGTCGTCAACTTTGTCCTCCACAGATACTCCCTCGACACCAATCGACTTCAAGGCATCCTTATATTCCGAAAAGCCATACATTAGGCCCTTGTTGTATTGATTTTGGTAGTAGGATTGTAACCGACTGCCTGCTCTCGAGGATCTGAATGCTAATAAGTTCTTGAACGAGTCGACATAATAGAGCTTGTTAGAAGGATCTGACGAAACGGTGTTCTCAAAGCAACGGATGATCAACTCATCTTGGTAGAACGTAAACGAACTCAATGCCACAAAGAAGGAAAACTTATCAGAGCTATCTTGCCTAAACGATGTCACTGATGAGTATTTATCGACCTCACCAAGTGCAGTAAATGCCCGTGACATGGAGTCGTTATACGAGAACTGTCTGTCAAAGTCGTTTGGCAGCGAGGTCCGGAGTAGTTTTCCGATAAAAAGAAGCTCGTAGGCTTTTCGAATGTAACTCTCACGAAGGACCGGGTCCTTAGCAAGGTTTGGAGGAACAAATAGCTGTTCTTCTTCATTTAACGTGAAGCCCAATTTGTCAAAAAGCAACGCAGTATCCAACTTTGCGTCAAGAGCAGACTTCATTCTAGGTATAGTTTGGAGTGGCTGGTCCTCAGGCAACACAATAGGACCCTTGAGCACCTTGATGAGAGTCTGAATGCAATGAATGGGATCGAATTTGGTAACTTGGGCAGACGGCGATTCGGGGAACTCCTTGATCTTTTCTGCAAAACGCTCATTGACCACGTTCACGTCGGTCATGTCATGAAGCTCGTCATTGGTGAACTCTGGATGGAAGACGGTGACTCTCAAGATGTGATTATGCGGTGTGTTGGCAGATTTATAAAAAACATCATCCACAATAGAATCAGCTGCCAACTTGTCCTCGCCCAAGGACTCAAAGTCGTCTGGAGAGACCTGTTCACGCAGAAGAACATGGTACTCGTGTTTATCGATGGAGAACACAGGAGGTCTGTTCTGCTCAAGAATGGCCAACCGGAAGTGGAAGATCTCGTGTGAAATCTTCCTCACCAAGAGACCACGGACCACCGTGACAGATAAGCTCTTCTCTGGTAGATCGACCTTGTGGAAAGCAGGAACGTACTCCACGGCATTATTCAAGATAAGCGGCTCAAAGTGGTCATTTTCCGTCACAAGAACCAGCAGAAGCTGTTTAGCATAATCCACCGGCCTCGACGATAACAAGGATGCTGCTTTACAGTCCCTGAGTGCCAGCAGCAGTTTAAGCTGGAAGAACCTCGGGGTGTATTTGAGATCACTAAAGATCCTGTTTGACGTTTTGAAAGGCGCCTTCTTCAAGACATCTCTTGGAAGCAGCGTCGCCACGTGCTGGATGTTGTCGTTTTCCGTGAAAAACAGCGTTTCTGTGGTTTCAGTCGAGGATCTGGTAGCAAACTGTCCGTTGGCAAATGGGTTGCTTGACTTGTAATTGGACAGATTTTGAGCCACAGCGGGTTTGTGCTCGGCAGTAGTGGAGGCCTCGGGCTGTGCCGGGCGCATATCAGGAGAATTGGATTCCATTGGCCGGATATCACAAAACGTGGAGTTGGTTGATTGCCTGGTGATGCTTCGCTAATGCAGGATCCACAGAGGAACCCAGGTGGTGCTCAAAATGGGGACTAACGGGTGGGAGGAAGGAGGAGAGGAAATGGTTTGATTCAGACGATAATCTGAAAAGAATGCTGGAAGTTGGAATTTCAACGCCACCTTGGTTTCTGTGGCAACAATGCAAACAGCACTTGCGCACATACTGGAGACTACGGAATACAATAGAGTCGAAGTTGCGGAGGTAGCCGATTATGATTTTTGACAAATATCAAAAATATATTTAACGACTAATAACGGCATATAGAAAGCTCTACCCATATCTCAATGTTCATAAGTAGACTTCAACCGTCCTGGTTGTGGGACCCTGTTCGCAGTTGCCTCGCATTTGCAACCACAACCACCTATACCAAATAACCACACAAATCGAAATTTTCAAAACAATCAAAATCCACCGCCAAAAGTACCCCCAATTATCATATTCACAAATCTTCCACCACCCCCACATCCCTTGCACATAAACATAACCGACTCGGTCTCTGGCTCGGTGCCTGCACCATCTGCATCGCTCGCTAACTTCATTCTTCACCATGGCTACTCCTCCTCAATTCGACCTAGAAAAAATCAGAGCAGAGTCCGATGGCTCCTACACAGGCATGGCTCGCTCCATGTTTGACCAGGCCGTCGTCAACAACCCATATTTCGCTGCTGGCGGTGGCCTTATGCTTTTGGGTACCGGTCTAGCTTTGGCCAGACTGGGTATCGTCAGATCCTCGGGTTTTCTTTATAGACAGCTTCTCGTGGACCTCGAGATCCCGTCCAAGGACAAGCTGTACTTGTGGTTTTTGGAGTGGATGTCCCAGTACAAGCACCGGTCGCTGAGACACTTGTCTGTGGAAACCAACTATGTTCAGCACGACAACGGCGCTGTCACAACGAAGTTCTCCTTGGTTCCTGGCCCAGGAAAGCACTTGATCAAGTACAAAGGCGCCTACATGCTCGTCAACAGAGAACGTTCTGGAAAGCTCTTGGACATGACCTCAGGAACGCCTTTCGAGACCGTCACCTTGACCACCTTGTACAGCGACAGACATGTTTTCCTGGACTTGCTAGCAGAGGCCAAGAAAATGGCCCTCAAGGCTCAGGAGGGCAAAACCGTCTTGTACACGGCATGGGGCCCCGAGTGGCGTCCCTTTGGCCAGCCTCGTAAGAAGAGAATGCTTGGTTCGGTCATTTTAGACGATGGTGTGAGTGAGCTCATAGTGAACGACGTTAAGGACTTTTTGAGCTCGGGCGAGTGGTACCACCAGCGAGGCATTCCTTATAGAAGAGGCTATTTGCTCTATGGACCGCCAGGAAGCGGTAAAACCTCGTACATCCAGGCCTTGGCAGGTGAGCTCGACTACAACATCTGTGTGTTGAACCTCTCCGAGGGCCATTTGACTGACGACAGACTCAACCACCTCATGAACCACATCCCCAATCGCTCCATCTTGCTTCTTGAAGACATTGACGCTGCGTTCAACAAACGTGAACAGACAAACGAACAAGGCTACCAATCTGGTGTAACCTTCTCGGGCCTCTTGAACGCCTTGGACGGCGTTGTTTCTGCAGAGGAGTGCATCACCTTCATGACCACCAACCACCCCGAAAGGCTAGATCCCGCTTTGCTCAGACCAGGCCGTGTGGACTTCAAGGTGATGGTCAACAACGCTACAGAGCAGCAGGTGAGACGGATGTTCTTGCGTTTCTACGAGGACGAGAAGGAGCTCTGCGAGAAGTTCGTCAAAAAGTTCCAGGAGCTAGAGCTCGTGGGCAAGGTCAGCACGGCCCAGCTCCAGGGCTTGTTTGTGTACAACAAGAAGGACGCTCAGGCTGCGTACGCCATGGTCGACACGTTGAAAAACCCTAATAGTGTATTCTGATCCCTTGTATATAGTTGCATCCGAAATAATAACACATAGAAGAAAGTAAACGGGCGCCTAGCCCCGGTAGTACCGCATCAATTCCTCGTGTTTGGCTTCTAGCAGCCGCTCAGTCATGCCCTCTTCACTCATCAACTTGCTGAGGTAGTCCATGTAGACGAGATAGACCAACGTGTCTGTGTTGTCGTTGGCTATGGGCATGTCGGTTTTGCTTTTGAGCACCCGCTTGAACCGGCTCTGGGGGTACTGCGCAGATCCAGGCATGGGATGTGGAGTTGGTGAAGATGCAAATTGTGTTTTTATTTGCGCGCAGACCCGACCAAAGTATGGGGCAGCCCCAAATGGAGGAATGAAAATGTCCAAATTTCACGAACAATGCAATTCGGTCAATTGCTGTTTGCTGATAGACAAACCTTTCTGCAATTGACGGTCAACTGCTATTTGCAAAACAGAAACGTCAAAGCTTTCTGCAGACTCCGTAGACAGGGTCACTAAGTCTGTAGAACCTAGTTCTGAGAACCCTCGGTCTTGAGCTTCTTGGCCTTCAGGTCGTCCTCAGAAAGCAAATCAGAGAGCCTTCCGGAAGCGCTTCTCTTGATCAGCTTATCGAGCTCCTGGACAGAAGGAAGCACGCTCTTGCCTTCAAAAGGCGTCAGCGGTATACTGGGAGCTGGAGAAGGCGCTTTAGAAGGAACAGAAGTGACCATTGGGTTCAGCGTGAAGGTTTTGGGAAGAACGTGACCAGGCGAGATGGGCCTCTTGTCGTCGTTCAAAAGCGCAGTTGTAGAGTGTCTCTGCTGAGGTGAAAAACTCTGCGGCATGTTCTTATCGAGAATAGGCAAAGAAACCGTTCTCTGCTGCCCCGTTTCACTACGCATGTAAGGCTGGTAGAGCAGCGGAGCGGCCTGCTGGTTCACCTTGGGCTGGTACTGCTGGACATGGGGAGGTGCTCTGGCGTCTTTCTGGTTGGAAAGCGGGCTGGACGATTTGAGCTCATCGGGGCCCTTCAACGCCTTGGTTTGAAGCGGGTCCATGAGGACAGAAAACTGGCGGTTCTGGTGGCCGTCCTCGCCGAGCTTGAAATGACGAAAGCCGTTTTCGCCGTTGTTGTACAAGGAATAGTTTGGGTTTAGAGGGTAGCGCTGGGGCACGATACTGGACGAAGGTGGTTCTTCTGCCGAGCCGTTCTGGGCACTTTGAGGCTGTCCGGCCTGGCCATTCACCGAGGGCTGTTTCTCCTGCTGTGGGTTTCTCAAAACGAGTTTGCTTCGGAACGCAGCCAAATTTTCCAGTCGTAGCTCGTCTTTATCCAAGATATCAAGAAGCTGCACCATATCGTCCTGGCTCTGCTGTTGGGCAGCGCAAACAGTGTCGTATTTCCGCAGAAGGTCGTCGAAGCTGGCTCGAAGCGTGGTAATTGCCGTCAGCATCTCAATCAACTTCAAATTGATCAGCTGGTCCACAGCCAAAGCGGTCTGGTTGGACGGCTGCCGCAGCTGGGACTGAGAAACATACGACAGCGGCGTGGGGATAGGATGGTCAGGATAAGGCGGAGAGCTTGGGCTCACAGGCACTGGCATCGTCACCGAGTGTGGAAAACCCGGATAAGGGTGCATTGGGTAGTAGACCAGACCTGGTGGATTCAGCGGATGGCCATTGGGCAGTGAAGGCGAGTGTGGTTTCTGCGCCAGCAGCTGCTTCCACAGCTATTGATAGAGCGAACGGTGGTACTGCTGCTTGGACGCTGGGTCTGGAGTCTCCGAGTCTGAATCGTTGCTTGTAGCTGGATTCAGCGTCGGCGGGAGCAGCTTCAAATTGACGATTTCCTTCGGGGTGCTCATGACCTTCGACAGCTTACGTTTGATGAGGCGGAGCAGCTCCACGTCGCCCTTTCTGAACTGATTAGCAGCGTGTCTGAACTCCCAGCGGGTCTGGCCACTCGGCGTGCCCTTTTCGTCGCTGTGGAACGAGTCGTTCACCTTGTGGAAGCCGTACATGTTGAGCTGGCGGATGAAACTGGCGATGTTGGTGTGTTTGAAGTACTGGGCCAAAACGTTGGAGAACTCCTCGCCCGGATAGAGACAGAAGCTATCGTGGGAAGGCAGCCACCAGATGAGATGCGAGAGGCTCAGGTCCTCCAACATGTCGTAGAGTTTGTGGATAAACACGGTTTGTGTTTTTGGGCCCTGGATTTTGGCATCTTCGAGCGGTGGATTCGTCTTTTCGTCGGTGTTCTCCTGGGGTAGAAGGTCGGGTTGTGGCTGGTGAGGGTGGTGTGGCTGGTGCCGTAAGTCGTTATTGGCGGCGGACTCGCCAGGGGTGGGCAAGGCCATGGGACCGAGCGGATAAGGAATTTTGGGGTGGATTTGGCGGGTTTGTTGGAGGTGTTTCTCGAGGCTCGTCTGCTAGGTTTGTAAGCGAAGCAGGGAGCGGCGGCGGGGCAAGGGCAGGGAGGAAGGGATTAAGGGCTCCGACCGCAGCAGGAAGAAAGTCAAAATAAAAAAAAAACGAGAAAGAAGGGCCGTGAACGAAGGGGGCCTGTGGCAGGGGAAAATGTGGAGTGGTTGGTGAGAATGAAAATTGAGTAGAAGCAGGACGAGAAGAGGTGAGGGTCTTCTGCTACACATCCAGTGACCACCCCAGCCATTGTTCCCGTGAATGGAATGTGTGGAGGGGTCGAGGCGAGGAGGACGAAGAATGGGGATAATGAAGAGAATATAAATTTGGTTTAAGGTTTTTTCGAAATTCTAGTGAATTTGGTGAAGTCCAACACCCGTTGGATCTGGCGGGCCGTTAGTCAACGGCGCCCAGAAACGCGGCAAGACCGCCTCGGCTGGAGACCAGGACGAGGGCCAAGGGGGCCGAAACCGTGGCCGTTTGCGAGAAAAAGGCAAGAAATAAGAACAATCTGGAAATCCCGAATCGAGAAGTGAAGAAAACCACCGAAATGCAGACAAAGAGAAGACGGTCTGGGAGAAGGAACAGGCGGTTGGATACAATAGGAGAAGAATTCAGGGCAGGATTCGAGGGTGCATTTCGGGGGACAGTCCCGGCAGGCGGCAGAAAAAAATAGAAGGTGGCAGCAAAAAAAATAACTAAAATAATTATTCGACATGTCCGGAGAATGGTGCGGGTGTCAGGAGCGGTGGGCTGGGGGGAATGGAACTGCTCCTGATTACATCTTGTGGTAAGATGTGATGACAAGTATGTTCTCCCATAGGCATAGGAGAACTGGGCCAGGCACTGACCAGATTGTCTTTTCTGGCTTGTCGGGCTTGTTGCGAATTTTAGTCCTTCCTTGTTGGGCCGTTGTTCCTTCGTCGCGGGCATGTTCGATTGTTCTCGCTCGAGCTATTTGTGCCGATTAGGCAGGTGCCCAGGACGGCACAGGACACAATGCCGTATTAAGAGAAGCTAAAGTGGCCTAGGTAGTAAATCCGGTTACGAGTAGACGAGCCTTGGCCCGAGCCTCTTGGGCGTTGTGGATTCTGGATTGTATTCGTTCTTGTCCATTTTTCTGAGTTCCTGTTCTTCCACTTTTCCTGTGTTTTTTCCTTGGGCCGTTGGCTCGGTGACTGGCGCCACTTCCAAGCCTCGTCAGCGCCCGACTAACCGCTGCGAAGACGTAACCTAGTGACGACGGCGGCTGCAACGTGCGTTTGGTGAAATCAGACGAAAAAAGCACCGGCGCAGATTTTCAGAACACACTTTACACCAGTCCGTCAGAGCCTCTGGCGGCCTCTGGCGGCCTCGCATCGGAGATTTTTACTCAAACCGGCCTCCTGCTCCCTCGCCTAAATGATGTCACCCCCACCAGGCCCACCGCCAGGTGGGAAGGCAGAAAGCAAAAAATAAGTTCTTTAAAATGTCATCCTCAAACTGCCTCAAACTGCCTCAAGGTCATCCCCAGCGTCACCCCCAAACTACATCACCAAAGAACTCCTAGGCTTCGCTGGGCCGGTACCGGCTTTATCACGCAAGCAACCACCTACTCAGTCTTGCCCGGACGCCTAGGCGGTGGGGGATCTGCATGGTCTGGTTTGCCGCCGGACCAGGCGAGGTGGGGCCTCAGCACCGCTGTTTTTCTTTTCGTGTGATTGTTTTGTGTAACCGGGCCCGTTGCTTCCATGAACTGCACGCCGCCTTTCCTCACCGCCAGCCTGCCGCTGCCTCGCTGCCTCCCTGCCACCCAGGAATTGTCTGATCTTCAGGCGTCACCGCACCGTCCGATCGCATTGTCAGCAATCCCCATCCCACCTCTGCTTCGTCAACTTTTGCATTTATCCTCTTCTTTTTGCCTTCCTCTCCTTCTTCTTAATCACCGCCTTGGTCACCGCCTTCGTCACCTGCCCACGTCAGGATGTCTTGGCTGACCGTTTTGTGTGATTTCATCTCCCTCTGGGGCTCCTTATCCGGCTCCTCGGCGCGGCCGCATTCCTGCTAGCACAATGGGCCGTACCGGGGGCTTCCAGAAAGCTCGCCGTTCCGCGGCAGCAACCCACCCCAACTTGCACCGCCAGAGCGTTATTGTTGGCTTGTTCGCTGCAATCCCCGGCTTTTGCATGTTTGATTTGATTATCTTGTTTTTTTCTTTTGGCTTTTATAGCCGACTGGGGCTGTATTTTTCGTGGAGCGTCGGCTTATTCCGTCGGAATCCCCCAGGCCTCATTCGCCTTCTTTGTCTGTCCTTTGCCTCATGCTCGCCGCCCCAGGGGCAGTTTCAGCGGCCTATGGCGCCCGCGCCATTCCAACTACTCAATAATACCTAAACCAGGTGACTCACAACCACTGAAACACACCCAGCCCATGGTAGCTGGACAGTTTTAATTAAATCAACCCCTTCATAATCTCTACCGACTCTTAAATAAATAAAAAACGGCAGGCTAATCCCCCCGACCCCTGCCGAGATCTCCCAAATCCAGCCTATGATGGGCATTTTTTTCTAATCTGCTTTCTTTTGATGTCTCCTTGCTTTGTGGTTGCTGATGCCTGGGCATTCCTCAGCCCGCACGGTTTCCTTGTTCTCTGCCTTCTTTTGTGGCCCATTTCTTTTTCCGTACACCTTTTTTTTTCTTTTTTCGCTGCCTCAGTCACTTCCTTCTCTTAACCCTGTGCCTCGCCCTCGCCCTTTTTTTCCTCCACCTACTTCTTCCAACGCATCCCCCAAACACCCATCCTGTTTTAATCCACTTCTTTTTTTTATTCCACAACAACAACCCCGTTTTTTTCCAGACGCCCTACCCCTCCCTGCTAATATCGTGCTGCCTGGATGAACTCCCAGCTCAACAACTCAAACGAAAACCAGGACCTGGTCTTCCAGGAAACCGACACCTTCCGGCCGGTCTTCTTCGACTCCAGCGCCAAACGAAACTCCTCCCTGGCCTCCTCCGACCCGGCCAAAAGAGCAAGACTTGACGCCTCCGTCATCGCCCCCAAGGACAGGCAACAGGACCCCATCCAGCCCAACCCGCTGCCCCTGGCCTCGTCTCCAGGCAAACTGTCCAACCCAGGCCCCATCCTTAACCAGCACAGACCCTCCCTCCATCATCGCCACCTCCTCCTCCAGCACCACCTCCTTTCCCAGCCTTCGCTGCCCACCCCTGACCAGCAACACGCTTCGGCAACAGACCAGGGAGACGTGGATGTGGACGTGGACATGGACCAGGACAAGCCCTCCAAAAAGCAACCTGCCACGCCTCAGCTGCTGACTCCCAAGTTGCCGCTGCTGCTGGTCAAGGCTGCTCAGCGCTCCGCCCACCGCTCGGCCAAAAAGAGCGTCAGAGTGCTGCCGGTGGCATCCCAGGGCTCAAAAGCTCCAAAGTTTGTCAGACGTTTCCGCTCACGCTCCCTCCCTATCATCAACTACACCTCCCGCTCCCAGTTGTTCCAGCATCATGTGCTCCAGCGCGTGCCCCACCAGCAGCTCCTGTCGGCCGCCTCCTCCCAAAACTCGTCCTTTTTTCTGCAACCGACTGCCCCTGCCTCCCTGCACTACCATACCCCTGCCACCCCGTCGCTTCCACCCATCAATTTGCAGCTGTTGAAGGAGATCGACCTTCACGAGATCTTGAAGAATCCTCAGTTGAGACACGACATTCTCTTTGACCCTCAGTTGCAGTTCCGCCCCAACTTGGATGGCGAGCGCGGCAGACGGAAGAAGACCATCATCGAGAAGTACTGGGGTGAGATTGAAGCAGAGTGCAAGCAGTTTTTCGCCGGCCCCGTAAAGCCTAACTCCGTCAAACTCCCTCGTTTGCCTGTTCTTTTCACCACCTTGAGAGACATTTTGTTGTCGCTCCTTCCGGTGAAGGACCGCGCCCCTGTGAACGAAATCATGGACATTGACCTTCTCGTCCAGCAGTTGTCCCACGGCTCTTTTGACTTTGTCGCCATGGCCAAGTGGCTCGGAGAGGTGTTCAAGTCCCACTGTGCTCCTATGAGAGACCAGTGGGTGTCCGACATGATTGCCAAGTTCCAGCAGTCCTTTGAGGAGAACTCGGTGGAAAAGCTCGTGCAGGGTTTGAGAACTATTTTCTTTATCTTGGAGGCTATGAAATTGGACGTGGCTAACCATCAAATCAGAATCTTGAGACCTGTTTTGATTGAAACTGCTAATGAATTCGAGAAGGACTACTTTGACCAGCTTATTAATCACTGCAAGATCGACATCACCGACTCTTTGAAGTGGTATTACAGAAACTACCACAAGAAGAGCGACATTGCCAAGCTGTTGAACAAGGAGAACATGCTGGATGCCGAGCAGAGCAAGGCTATCATCGTTTCCGCCATCATCGATTTGCTTTCATGCCGCAACATGGCCACGGAATTCCCACTGACTTTGGCCTTCGACCACACCAGATTGGTTTTGTTGAGAGCCGACGTTAGACAGTTGGTCTGCGTCCAGTTGTGTGTCGTGTTATACAAGCAGCTTCTTCATAACTACCTGCCCGCTGCTGCTTACAGAGCTACCAGCTACAAACCTGAGAATCTTACAAAGGTCCAAGAGGAGATCTTGGCCATTGTTACTGACGACAACGGCAATGTGAAGTGGACCAGAAATGTCCAGGCGATTGCCTTACAGCTAGTAAAGAATGTTGTCACCAACCCATTGACAGGAAAACAGGTTACCAACAACTTGCCTCAGTCGATGGTTGATTTCAGTTACAACTGGTTGATCAAGCAAATCCAGCCAAGCTCGGACGTCTATGGCCTCATGGAAGACAAGATCTTCAAGGAGCTCTTGACCGAGATTGTGGTCAACCTCAACTTTGACGGTGCCATAACTGCTAGCAGTTTGAGCAACGACTTGAAGCTGAGCTCTGCGGGCAAGAGC